GAAAGAGCAAGGAAAGAGGCTTTAAGGGCTCAGAAGTAGGGAGGGAAGGCTTGACTAGAAAATATGAAAATCCACCAAAAACTCATCTAGAAAAAGGTTTCCATTTGTGTCAGACTGGGCTGAACGAAAGCAAACAGGAAGAAGGTATCAATTGATTGTCCTGATGACAAATCCCAGGAAGCTTTCAAATCAAATTGCACCATTTTGGGTTTTTAACCCCTTCCATCAAGGTTAACCTTTACCTCCTGCGTCCTCGCCCCCACCCCCTCCACCCCCTCTGCTGTGATTAGATCCCTGCAGTACACTAAGTCTTCCGGGAGTGAATGGCCAACAGCAAAGGCCTCCCCCTCCCTCCCAGCTGTGTTTTTCAGTTTTATTCCACTTTCCGCCCTTTTCCCTTAATGAACACAGGGCTAATCTCGAGCCCTGTAGAAGGAAGAGGCTGCAGACGTTAATGAGATAGCGGCTGGATTCCAATATTTGTCTCATAAGGAGCCTCCTTTGTCTGCGAAGGAAAAACACACTGATTATCTTAATGAGGTGAAGCGGGTCCGCAGGGCAGGGGGATGACGGTTCTTAAGCCACGCTTTTAATTTTGGTGCCAGAGCCCACGTTTCCTTCGCTCCTCGTTCAGGTCTGCCTCTGTCCCAGTGCGAAGTCCACTGAGGGAGGTTGAAAGTTGAAGGCGGCCTGGGGAAGCGGGCTGCGGATGGGCTACACGGTAGCAGGTCTCCTTGTTCCACTCGAACTCATCCGACTGGCCAGGGTGTCCTGCCCTGGTTCTGAGCCTGAGGCCAGGGGTGGCCCAGTGATTGTTTTCTAACCCTGACATTCAGGGCCCCCTGGAGAGCCTTTGAAGTTTAGAGATGGCAGGAGCTGCCCAGCCCTGGCACAGCGGGGGGAATGTCACAAAGCTAGCACCCTAGAGCGCCCCCTCAGGAGAGAAATGCTAGGCGCCAGCACCCTGCACCCCCTCTGTGCCCATGACGGCATAGTTGGGATTCGGATTTGGTTTAGCAGGCTGACGAAGTGGGGCTCAGAGGGCCAGCGATCTGTTTGATGGGCCCGCCTAGTGCTGCTGGGGTCGGACCTCAGACGGGCACCAGCCTGCTGTTCCACCTCCACGTGCCCCACCTGAGTGCCCTCCCTCTCCCTGAGGCCGCGTCTCCTGTGAGTGTCTTCAGAGCTGTGTGTTCAAAGTCTGAAGTTTGCCCTTGTCCCAAGTGAGGGGCTTTTCTCTTCCCCAGGCACATCAAGATTAGTTCATTCCAATTAATCTTTAGGCTCTGACCAGAACGTCAGCCAAATGGGGGAAGAACTCATCCGACTGGCCAGGGTGTCCTGCCCTGGTTCTGAGCCTGAGGCCAGGGGTGGCCCAGTGATTGTTTTCTAACCCTGACATTCAGGGCCCCCTGGAGAGCCTTTGAAGTTTAGAGATGGCAGGAGCTGCCCAGCCCTGGCACAGCGGGGGGAATGTCACAAAGCTAGCACCCTAGAGCGCCCCCTCAGGAGAGAAATGCTAGGCGCCAGCACCCTGCACCCCCTCTGTGCCCATGACGGCATAGTTGGGATTCGGATTTGGTTTAGCAGGCTGACGAAGTGGGGCTCAGAGGGCCAGCGATCTGTTTGATGGGCCCGCCTAGTGCTGCTGGGGTCGGACCTCAGACGGGCACCAGCCTGCTGTTCCACCTCCACGTGCCCCACCTGAGTGCCCTCCCTCTCCCTGAGGCCGCGTCTCCTGTGAGTGTCTTCAGAGCTGTGTGTTCAAAGTCTGAAGTTTGCCCTTGTCCCAAGTGAGGGGCTTTTCTCTTCCCCAGGCACATCAAGATTAGTTCATTCCAATTAATCTTTAGGCTCTGACCAGAACGTCAGCCAAATGGGGGAACCCCCCCCCAATAAAAAAAAACTAGGGGAAAGGGAGGTGGTTGAAATAATAAAAATGTTATTAGTTAAAACCTTCAGGGGCCTCCCTCCCTCAATCTGTTGGCTAATGGTTCTGGCGTCTGGGGTCAGAATTAGATTCTCTTCCCAAGTTAACACAGCCAGCTCCAGCCCAGCACCCTAATTAAAAAGGTTGAGGGGTGTGTTCAAGGTGACCATCCACCCCCTGAGGGCCACAGTGAGACCCTGTGCCCGGTCTCAGGGGACTGGGATGCAGAGTCCTGAAAACGGCAATCACACGAAAACTGCCCTGATGGCCCGGCCCCTGTGCAGTTCCTGGAGGCAGAGCAGCAGCTTGGGTCCTAGTGGAGGGGTGGAGGGCTTGCTAGCAGGGAGTAGTGTGGGGTGCCTGATCAGAGCACCCCCTAACCCTCAATGCAGCTCTGCCTCCACTAGGAGGCTCCTAGGACCCTGTGGGTGTCTGTGGTCCTGGGAGGGCGTGGGAGACATTGATTGGCCAGGATCTTGGTGGATTTTTCGCCCAAGGCTTCTGGAACCCTAACTGGCTTTTCACGTGACAGAACCAAGAGAACACCCCAGCCCACTCCTGCTTGGGTTCCTGGAGCCCCGGCAGAGTCCCCTTACACGTTCCAGAGCCACCCACATAGGGGTCTGAGCGAATTGCTCCCTTCAGTGTAGGAGTGGCTGCCTTTAGCCCAGCACCTGAGAACCCCGGGGGTGTTCCTGCACCTCAGCCCTCAGCTCCTTGTGCCATAGGACCCCTGCACCGCTAGGCTAGCCCAGGGCTCTTGGCTGGCTCTTGCTGAGCCCAGAGCCCACTGGTCATGTAACACCCACCAGGTCGGTAGTGGAGGCTCAGGAGATTACAAGAAACCTACTGAGGTCGAGTGGAAGGTGAGGGCCGGAGCGGCCGGGCCGCAGTCCTGGAGGTGACTTTCTACTTTTGCTGCCCTTCTCTCCACTTCATCTGCTCGCTCACTCTGCCCACCTCTGTCTCTGTCACCCAGTTCCTAGCCTGGCCCTTGGGGGGTGCCCTAGGCCAACCCCACCCCTCCTCTGGGTGTCCCAGCACCAGCCTGGCACAGAGTGGGGCTCAGTAAGAGTATGTGGGATGTAAGCTTGGGCAGGTGAGTGAATGCGAGGGCTCGGCTGCCCCCTTGCCACCAGCCAGGCGGGTCTCGGGAGCAGGCTGAGGCCATGAGGGTGGGGGGCGGGCCCCTCTTACTGGAGGGCAGTGGGCAGCTCCCCGAAGCCCTGCGAATGAGCCTGCGGCCGCGCCCTACATTCACCCACGCGTCCATTCCATCATCCAACAGTTGATCCTAACTGAGCATTCCCACGGCCTGACCTGGGCTTGGCACCTGCCCCTAGTGTGTCCTCTGCCAGCCTCTGCTCCTGGGGGTGAGGGTGGGCTGGTCCCAGGTGCTGCAGCCCTGGCTTCCACGCCAGAGGGCGGGCAGGAGGTGCAAGGCGGGCCTGGGTTTCCTCCATCTCTGACTTCCCGTCACACCCTGGAGGAGTGCCCAAACCTGCCCAACCCAGGCTCTGCCACTCAGTTTCCTCAGCTGAGTCCCGAGGGCAGCTTGGGACCCCTGGCCCTGAAGCTCTCGGGACTGACATGGGCCCATGGGGACAGCCGTGGGTGTGTCCTGGCCTTGGCACACAGGTCTCCCTCTTGAGTTGGGTCTGCCCTCACCATGGTCCCTCCTCCCAGGGGGCTCCACCCGGCTCCTCTGTCCCCTGGTCCCCACTAGGGCCTGTGTCCCATGCAGACACCTATGGCTGGGAACCTCCAGGAGCGGCTGCAGGTCCCTCTGCTGGCTGCCTACCTGCTGTGTGCCACCCCAGCTCTGGCGGCCAGGCAGTGACCTGACCACACAGCACAGGGCTTTCTCTGCCTCTTGCCCAGCCCCGGTCTGCTCACTTCCTCCTTCCCTGCCTGAATCTTGGGCTCCTGACCCTTCCCCTCTCTCTGCCTGAATTTCAGGCTCCTGACCCTTGGGGCCTCAGCTGGCCTGTTCTCTGCCCAGTGGGTTGGTTTTCCTTGCCAAGCTCACACCTGTGGTTCCCTGACCCTGCCCAGCCAAGGACCGCCCCTCCCAGTGCTGCCCGTTTCCGGCAGGTTCCAGCACTGTGGGACAGCCGTCTGATACTGCTATCTCTGTCGACCGCTGCAGGTGCCTCTCCCTGGGCTGTAGCCAGACTCGTGTCCCATCTGTCTGGCCCCAGAGAGCCTCGCCAGCGTGCCCTGGTGGGTGTTGCCCACTGCCTGCCTGTGTCTCCCCATTCTCCATTTCTCCATACCCCCGAGTCCTGAGCTCTGCTGGGCCAGGCCCCATCTGATTCCTCGGCTGGGTGGGGCTGCCCTAGGCCTGTGGGTCTCTCGGGCACCTTTTTCCATCTTTGCTCACCCCATAAGCCCACCCATCCCACGAGGAGCGCTACAGGTGAGGCTGCACTGTGTCTCATGGGGGTACGCGTGTCTTTTCCAGGTGCTGTTGGTAATTCCTATCTGCTCCTCTCCCCAGGGCTGGCCTCGTCCAGGGCACCCAGGCCATGATCTGGCTGGGTCGACTGAAGAGCTGCAGAGGGACGCGGCAGAGACCCCTCCCACAAGGCCCCCACTGAATTGCCCCTTCTTGCTGATGAGCTGCTCAGCTCCTCCCTGGTTCTGGGTGAGTTTCTGGCTTTCTTAGGACACTGATTTCATCTAGGTCAGCCCCGTGCACGTGCTCAAGAGTGACAACATTTAATCTGGACACAGGAGAGCCACCCTGGGGAATCCTCTTCTCCATCAGCCCCAGGAGCCCATGGGTCTGGAAGTTGCCTGGAGCAGTGGCTGCCGCAGCAGCCCACGTGCAGAGGGGCCCGGCCTGGGCTGGTGTATGCAGGTGCCAGGCCCGGTGGGGGCAAACCCAGCCCGGGTGTAGAGGCCTGAGAGCTGCTGGGCCTGCAGAGTGGGCCCTCAGCAGGGGGTCTGTGCCCTCCCACCAAAGCCCAGCCAGGGCTGGCTGTCAGAGAGGTGGAAATAGGGCTGCCAGCCGGCTGGGGACATTTCTCCCTGCCAGCCATGGTAACGCCGCTCCCTGTGAGAATCGTGGCTCTCACACACGAGGCTTTGATGCTATCCTTGAATCGAATCATGGTTTTTGAGTGAGTTCTTCTTTTGGCCCCTCTTCCTTGGCCCTGGAAGTGTAATGAGATGGGAACGTTAGGTTTGTTTAAACAAAATCAGGGACGGTAGGAAGAAGAAAGCAGAAGCCTCCAGCCGTGTCGGCCCGCAGACGTGGCATCTGTTTTGTGGTCCACTCATTCCAGATGCGTTAACGAGCTGTCGAGGGCTCAGGGTCAGGCTGTCTGGAGGAGCTTGAGACCAGGCTTTGGGTCAGGGACCAGAGGGTCTAGCTGGGCATCCTGGGAGGCCCCACTCCAGGGCCTGCACTTCAGCTGAGCGAGTCGGCATGGCCTGGGCCTGGGGTGTCCCGGTTGCACATGGGAGTGCAGGTTGGGAGGACAGAGGCTCAGCTGAGGGTGCCTTTTCTGGGATCCCATGGTGGGGCCTGCCTGCACAGGAAGGGCCAGGGTGCTTTCAGGGCCAGCAGTTGGCGAAGCTGGGGGGTGCGGCTGGTCCTGAGCGTGGCTTGCCTCATTTCCGACGTGCCGGGCTGCATTCTGCCAGCCCTGAGACAGCCCAAGGCATCCAGGTGGGACAGAGAGCTGTCTTGGCCACAGGGGTTTTGCTGGTTCAGTTCCCGTAGACGCAACGGATCCTCCAGTGGGCTCCAGCACTGTCCTTGGCCCAGATGCCCAGATCCCCACCTTGACATGCACACACAGGGTCTCTGGGAAAGGGAGACTGATGGCTACACCTTTATGTCCAGTCCCTCAGGTGTGTCAGCCTGTGAGTGGGCTCTCCCCTCCAGATTCCAGTGCGTCTTCTGTAATGCTTTCTTTTTTTAAAAAAAATATTTATTTTTATTTTTAATTAATTAATTAATTTACATTCATTCTCTGAGCATCGTCACGGCATACAAAATGTGATTTCCCATCCAGAATATACTGCATAGTGGCTTAATCGTGCATGTTATCATCAATAATTTTCCATTTCTAGTTTCATATGTATCATAACGCTCTTTAATCAAACTGTGGATTTGGAGACGGTGCTTCTGCCGCACCCTTCTCTCCAACACAGAAATGGGGTGGAGCTATTGTAAACCAGATCCATCAGTGTAGGCAGAGGGGCAGGTGGATCCCAACCCTACGGCTGCTGCCTCCCTCCGCTTGTTCTCCCAGGCAGGAACCGAAGCGAGGTGGGGGGTTTAGCCCAGGGCTAAATCCAGGGAGGGGGCACTGGGCAGGTCTGCCCTGTGACATTTACTCCACCGCTGGCATTTGCTGAGCCACCTGCAAACACGGTGATGTGGAGGAGAGGCCTGGGGGGCCTTTATGCAGGGCAGGATGCTGGGCTCCTGGGGGTACCCGCCTGGAGCTTACGAGAAAGCGTCCGTGCAGCTGGTCTGAGTCAAACACCTGTGACTTCTGGACCCGTCCCTCAGGGGTACCCTAGGGCCCTGGCAAGGTGGGCTGAGCCCAGGGTAAAGTCAGAGAGAGAGCAAGGCCACCAGACAGAGCCCACAAAGCCACGCGGCTCACCCCAGGGCAGCCCCTGCATTCGCTAGTCCCTTGCCCACCTCAGGAGGCTGAAATGGGGCTGTCTGGACTGAGCTACACTTCAGGTCCCTGAGCATGTCAAGTCTTAGGCAAACATGTTCAAAGGGTCTTCAAAAGGTTCGTGGCAAATGGAGTTCAAGTATGAGTTTATCTTGGTGCAAAAATAGGAAATCCATGTGCAGTTTTTCCATAACTTCGAAGAAAGACCCTTTGTATTTGGGCTTTGTGTGTCTTTAGGTAGAAAACAGATAGAAATATGCCCAATTCTCGAGAAAGGAGCTTGAGGCACAATGTCGTGCATTGGCCTCGTAGACAGTGGTTGGCGTGAGATCGATGAAAGAAGATTCTTCCCAGGAAAACGCCTTTCTGATGGATTAGCCAACACCAGGGTAAGAAGGGGTGGGAATGAGGCCTTACCCAGCTGGGCGGTGAGGCTCAGAGGCCCCGTCACCCTGGTGGGAGGGGTGTCGCTGGCCATATGTCATCACGCTGAGCATTCCCCAGGGGCACCTCTCACTGGCTGCTCAGGTGGCCTCGCCCAGAGGCTGGCCTCCTGTCCCACCTGCCTCTTGCGGGGATGGGAGAGGGCCGAGTGCAGGGGCCCTGAGCCCCTGGGAGGAGAGGGCCCCTCTCTCCCACCTGCGAGCTGCTGGTTGCCATTTGGGGGCCCCTGACCTCATGCTTCCAGAGCCGTGATTCAAACCCTGAATGTATTTCCAAGCACATTTCTCCACATCATGTCGAAACGTGGCAGGACTCAGGGGGACGGGATGCACGAGCTCTCACTCGTCCATTTCCATGCGGCGACCTCAGGGTGTTGTTGTGAGCAGTCTGACTTCGGAAAGAATGAAGGAAACAGCCACCCATATTTAGTGAGCTTGCCAAGGAGGGGGTGTGGAGGGAAGCAGGGGCAATGTGGAGGCCAGTGTGTCAGGCACTAGAAAGCCGTTCACAGGGCCCCTCTTCAGGACACTGGGGTTTAGTGAGCTGTAGGTCCCAAGAGCTACCCCGCCACTCCATCTACCGCGGTGAGACCCGTGCCCTCTCCCGGCGGCGGAGCGAGGAAGTCGAGCCTGGTCTTCTGACCCAGGTTTGAGCAGATGGAAAATCCTGGGACAGAGCTGGACCTTTCCAAATGAGGCCATCTCACGTGTGAAGTCAGTCTGAAAGGGAGAGGAGTCAGCGTCAGGCAGGCTCTGGTTCGTTCGAGCAAGGCTGTCCCAAGTCTCTTGCTCAAGTGGGGCTCTTCGGGGGTAGTCTGAGGGGATGGGTTACAGAGACAGAAAAGATACAGATGGAGGGAGCCCCTGGGCGGAAGGGGGCCTGTCCTCGGGGCAGTGCAGCAGTGCCAAGCCAGGGGCCTGAGTTCCGTGGAAGCTAGGCGATAGGGAGAGACCCCTTCTCCGTGCCAAGGCTGTCTTCCCGGCGCCTGAGAGGCGCATCTTCCCTGTGCCCAGGGATCTCGGACTCTCTAGTTCCTGCGGGGATTTCGGTACGTCCTGAGGCCAGATCTCATGACCTAGCCTCGCCTCGGGAACCAGGCCCCTCAGAACTAGCTGTGACCCCCATCTCCAGACATATCGACGGTGGTCTGCTTCTCCCTTGCACCCGCAGGTCCTGGGCGATCGTGGGGGGCCAGCATGCAGAGCAGGTTTGAGTAACTGAGTCCGGGCAACCCCACAGCTAGAGGGGAATGTGTGAGAGAATTAATTAGGGTACGGACCTGGGGGGGGCAGCCATGACTTTCTTAATTGCTCTCCAATTTCTTTGGGCTTAAAAAAAATCCAGATGGAGAGCTCCTAACTCCCTTAGCCTGGGGGTCGCAGGAAGGAGGGCTGCCCACCACCCTCGCTCAGCCCCTCTGCTCAGCCCCTCTGCACAGTGAATAGGGGCTTTGGCAGGGGCTTAAGGAGGAGACTCTTAGCCTGGGAGCTCCCAGGGCCATTTTAGACAGAAACAAAGGCGCAGGCAGAAAGGAATGTGGGGAGCCCGCGGCCCACGGCCACCTGGGGGTAATTGAAGGGCCGAGTACAGTTGAGCTTTCCCAGGTTCTGTGAATACACTCTCTCAATGGAAGGTGCCTTTCTTCAGATAAAAAGAAGAAAACCTCAATGACCTTCCTCTGAAGCAAAGTGTGTTCCCTCTGGGGCTGCGTGGGGCCCTTTGCCCTGCGTGTGTGTCTGGACTCGGGGACTGCAGAGCCAGCCGCCCCATTCTGCCACCCCGGGGATGCTCAGGCCCCTGAGCTCCAGGGCTCGATTTTGGAACGTTTCTTAGGGAAGAAGAATCTGAGAGGCGGTGTCTGTAAACAAAAGTTTGATCGGACTGGGCCTGAAGCCCGAAATACAGCCAGAGAGAGAATGGGGTCGAGGAGCGGGAAGTGGAGAGCCGAGTGCAGGCAGACGGCCCAAGCACTGGGTGCACGTGTGCGGCCCTCCGGGACTGTGGCTGCCCTGGGGTCCATGCACAGTCATCCCTGCTAGGCTCGGGGGCCACAGGGCTGCTGTTGGTGCTGAAGGGTGCTGAGGGCAAGCCAGTGCAGCTCACAGGTTGCGGCAGCCTGAGGGAGGAGACCCTGGGCAGGAGGAGGCTGTTTGCACTACCACTGACTCAACCGCCCTGAGGGCTTCAGCCCCTCAGAGGAAACAGGCCAGTGTCCTTGCCACAAGGGGCAGGAGGACCGGGCCTCAGCCTTGGCCAGGGTCTTGCTTTGCTCCTGCTGCCTCTGGGCCTGGGCTTCCTCTAATGTAAAATGAAGCTGTCTCTGCCGCTTCTCCTTATCTGTAAGTCAGAAGAAGCCTGGCATGTCAGTGGCGGAGAGGAGGGAAACAGGTCTCCATGTACCCAGACTGGGTCCCCACTAGTCCTCTGGCTGCACACACCCTTGGCTACTCAGGACTTGTCAGTGGTCAGAGGAAAGGGTCCTCCATGGTGCTGTGGACAGGGGATCAGGTGCCCGGAGGGGAACTGTGGCCTCACCTGCTATCTCCAGCCTCTGAGTCTCTGGAAGGAGGGGGTGCAGGCCCAGGGCCACCTAAGGGCCCTCAGAGCTCAGCAGGCACTCGGCGGTCACTGGCAGTTTGCTGCTTAGTTGTTGGGGCTTTAGTGATGACTGGCCGGCTGCCTTCTTGCCTTAGAGATTGGGACCACCAGAGACCAAGGGCTGTTGGTTTTCTGAGGCATGCAGTGAGCAAGGGGCAGGCCCAGGATGCCAGCCTGCCGGGGGCCAGCTCCCGCTGGCCTGCTCTGGTCCATGGGCACAGCCCCGCAGCTCCCTGCCATCAGCCGTGAGACAGTTCTGTGAACAGGTCAGAGCTCGGCCCGAGGGAGCGCTGTGTGCTGGGATTCCACTTTGGGGAGCACAATCCCAAACAGGCGGGCTGCTGGACAGGTCTAGAAAACCCTGACCCATGGCCCTTGTCTCAGGAGGGTGTGGCCGGCTGTACCAGCCCCTGGGGTTTGCCCTGTGCCCTTTGGTCAAGAAACCTCTGCAGTACCTCTGTTGGCACCAGGCCCACTTGGCTGAGAACTTCCTGAAAAAGCCATCGGGATGGTGACTTCTGGAAAAAGGATCAGTGACCCGCCTGTAGGGGCCACCTGCCTTACACCCAGTTTTGAAAACGTCTCCCACCATCCCTTTGTGCTGCGGTGTGCGGCAGCGAACAGCCCACAGAACCTTGGTGTGGGCCCGGCCCGGCGATTGCCGTGGTGGGCCAGAGCTTTTGTTTTGTGACCTTGGTTACTATAATACCTGTGAGCTGAAATGAGGAGTCGAAAAATTGCCAGCTTCAATTAGAGCGGCAGACCGCCCTTCTCAAGGCTGCCTCCGCCACTCTGCCCATTAACAGTGAACATGCACCAAATAGGCCCTAATTCCCTCTAATTGCCCACTCCTGAGTGGAGAGGTGAAATTCCGGGAAGAAGCATATGTAAACATCCTCTGTAACCCGACCAACTAAAATTAGAGGGCTGACGGGGCCGTGCGAGAGAGGGGACACGATTTCAAAATATGTTCCAATTACCTCGCCCATTTTCATAAATGGGCCCGTAATGTCCAGGCCTGATCTCACAAAGGTACAGGAAATTGGCTCTGCAGAGAGCTTGCATTTGTCAGGGGAAGTTGTCAGAGGGCCGTATTGACTCAACAGGTAGGAAGCATGAGGTCTGAGGCTAGGCTGATGGTTTGTGTAACTGCAGGCTCCATTTCTCGAAATCAACATTTTAATAAAAAGAATCCTTTCATGTCTTTCTCTGTCCGAATCATCCGTAAGTTATTTGCACCAAAGACACGTCAGATCAATTAGGTCCTGTCTGCCTTCAGAGGAGAGTCTTTGGATATCTCAAGATGCAGAGCTGGACTTCCGTAATCCAGTCTGAGCTGTGGAAGCTGTTTTCGGCGTGCCCGCCAAGCCTGCGTTTGTGCGGGAGCTCGGAGCTCGCGCCCGTCAGGTGCCCCATCAGATGCATCAGGTGCTGGGGCTGTTGTTCCTCTGGACTCTCTAAGGAAGCCTGGTGTTTTCCTTTGGTTCCAGATGGTGACTCATCTCTGCAGCTTCTCTGACATTTGTCAGGGTGCCAGCCCTGCCCCGCGTTGCTAATAGAGCAGACTGAGAGCGGGTACACCCAGCTTTTCAACCAAGGCACGACTGCTGGGGCCGCGGGGCAGCCTGGGGTCTGCACGCAGAGTTAATTAAGGACAGTTGCAAACGCCAAGGGTTTGCGGGGTCCCTGGAGCAAAGGCAGGAAAAAGCCCAGATGCCCTTCACTGCCTCTGGATTCTCCACTCCTACGAAAACACAAAATGGAATAAGAAACCACAGACCCAGGTCCGGCTCTTTCTCTTGCGGGAAGTGATGCAGTCCGTGGTCCTGCTCTTGCCACCTTAGACAGGTGGCCTCGGCCATGAGCAGCTCGTGGGGAGGGCTGCAGTCGGTCCTGGGGGTCCAGGAGCCTTCACATCACAGGTTACCCATTGCCACCCACGAGCCGTCGCTGCTCATGAACAGTGCCAAGGGTTGGCAAACTGCCCAGTTATGGAACTCGCCGTTCGGGAAGCACAAGGCTGGGGGAGGAGTTTTGGGAGGATTTGGAAGTAAGAGGTGTCCCCACCATGGCCTACGGGGTTTGGGACGTCCCAGTGAAAGACAGTACTGGGGGTAGAGGGGCGCAGCAGGGGGGCCCAGATGTCTTCAGGGCAGGGGGGGTTGGGGTGCCTTTCCTTCTGCTTTGAGGTCCCTGGAGGGTTTTGTGGCCTTTGTGGCTCTGTGGTCTACTGCCATCTAGGGCACCCCCACTCCATGTCCCTCTCTTTGACTTTCTGTCCCCAAGTGGTGTCACGAGGTCTCCTGCCTCTCTACCTGTACCTCACCATGGAGACTCTGAGAAGATGTTTTCCCACTGTCCCCTCCCAGGGTGCCCAGCCACCACACTTACCTCTACTCCTCTCAGCATCTGCTAACATTTGCCTCACTTGGGGCCAGCACATGGCGTAGTCGCTGTGTAGCTGGACTCCCATGTGGCTGACCACAGTTTGAGTCCTGGACTTGGCGGCTTGAAACTCAGGCTGGGTGCGTGTGTGTGTGCCACGATCCTGGGAGGAGACTGGAGGAGGAGGGATTGCGGCATGACCATCCCCCCGGGAGGTGATTTCTCTTTCTCTTTCACTGTGTCGGTCTCTCTCTCTCTTTGGCGAATGCATGCACATTAAGGTAAAAACATGCCCCCACCCCCCAAAAAAGACTCATTTAAAAATATGTTCTTGAACGAGCAGTTTTAAGTTTACAGGAAAACCGAGGAGAAAGCCAGAGAACTGCCCCCCACACCCACTCGTCACCAGTTTCCCTCTCTTTGACGCCTCCCGGTGGTAGTGTGCTTGTTACAGCTGGCGAGTCGACGCTCACCGTAAGCACGCTCACAGCTCTGGGTGTCCTCCATGCCACAGCTTTTGATGTGTGCATAGTTGCTGAACATTTTTCAAACTTAAGATTTCACGGGATGCTTTATGTCCAAGGAGCCTGGCCATGGTGCCTCGCAAAAAGCGTGCACACGATTACTAAGACGAAGGTGTCCGGGTGCTGTGGTCTGGCATTCCACAGTGTATGGGCCATAGCTTGAGGCTGTGCTGCTCACTAAACCTCCAGCTTCACAGTGGCCACAGCCCTAGCCTCCCCCCCCCCTTAGCCTCTGGTCTCCGACGGGCCAGCCACCTGCTCCCATGTGGCCCTACCCACGCACCCTGGCCTCTCCCGGAACACAGGCTGGGCCTGCTTCCCTCTGGGACACCTTCCAGAGTAGTCCCTGCTTTGTGAGTGTCAACGCAGTTCTTACCTGTGTAGTGGCCCTAGAGCTAGGCTAGCAACAGACCAAGAGCCATGTTCCCTGTCCCCACACCTGTCCCACCAGGCAGCCAGGAAAGAGGGTGAGCCAGTGAGCTAAGGAGAACGGCTTGGTGTCAGTGACTCCACGCTGGCTGGAGGTGAGATCCTTACCTCGGGACCCCCTGCTGTCATCCTTACGCACCATGCCCCTCACCGACCTGGATGAGGTTCTATTCAGTGACCTTGCGATTTCTCCTTCCAGCTGAAGCCATCGCCCGGACGCCTCCCTGGAAAGGACCTTGGACGTGGGACCCAGCCCCCTCCAGCTCTAAATCGTAAGTCTTCGAGTGTGCAAAGCACACTGTGGCCTGCTGCTAGGGGGCAGGATCCACCCAGCACATGGCCAGGAGGGTCTCGTGGGAGGGGCTGGTGGGTGCTGGCCTGCGGTCTGTGCCCGGGGTGGGGGTGCCCAGCAAGCCAAGCCGAGGGCTGACCCGGGGCTTGTGTTCTAAGACGGGAGCCCCTGGCCTCCTGTGTTGTCTCTGTGGCTAAAGAATTCTATAGGCGGCTTGGAGTGTTGGACCCCAAAAGAATTTCTTCTTTTTCATTCTGTCAAATGAATGGCCCTTTCATTGTGGCGTCTCCCTCTGGCTCTTGTGCCGCAGGGCAGACTGGGATGGAAGTGCCCCTGAGAGCTGGGGTCCCTTCCAAGGGCCGAGGAGGAAACGCAGGCTGAGGGACCAGCCTCTCAAACGGGCTTCGAGCTCCAATGACCTCCGCTCACCCCCTCAAAATGTCTGGAAAACATAATAGGCAGATTTTCTGTCTTCAAAGTTTCCGGCTAAACCTCTTCAAGTTCTTTATTGTTTGGGACTGAGACACTCAGCGATGGTAATGGGTAGTTTCTTTTGTGTTGGCCTTGAAAGGCCAAAATATTTTTATATTGTGACAGACAAAGCCACCTATTTAGAAATGAACTCCACGCCTGTCGTTTCCCACCGGGGAGACTATGTACTGTGTGTGTCTCTGTGTATTCTAGGGTCTTGAAACAGGTTTCTCATGGGGATCGCCATTCACCAAGGTCCAGAGGGGCAGAGCGGGGAGTGCCTGTCCTTCCGAGGGGGCCTGGGGAGAGCGGGTCCTATAATCTCAGCTGTGCCCGCAGCATGTCTAGGCTGCGAGGCTGGCGAGGATCTGACAGTGACTACACTGACCCTGTCTCTGCTCTGCACCCGCCATGTGTGTGTGTCTGTGTTGTGGACCATGGTCGTGCGTGCCTCGGGTGAACTGGATGGAGGAAGCAGGCAGGCCTAAGGGACTAGTGTCTGACATTTCAGAATCAGCGGCTGGGTGGACAGATGGTAGGGTGAGGATGGATGACAAACAGGCGGCGTGGCAGCCTTCCAGGGTGAGCCTGTGCGGGCCAAGACCAAAACCCTCCCACTTCACGCATGGGCCATCACGCAGGTCAAGGAGATGGCGAATCCATACATTCAGAGCCAATATAGGTCATCATAGCCCAAGAAATATGTATAATTCAAGTAGATGCCCCGACCTCCGTCACTACAAGAACGGGCCACCCCATGGGCCACCAGTGGCATGGTGGTTCAGGTGGCTGGATCCCACGCAGTCTACTGCACAGTTCAGGTGCTGGACCCCAGCTTGAAAAGCACGCTGGGCACGTGTGCGTGCATGCTCAAATCCTGAGAGGAGAATGGAGAAGGGATTGTGATGTGACCATCCCCCCATGGGAGTGCTTCGCCACTGTCTCTGTCTTTCCCTGTCTCTGGCAAGCACGCACATCCTATAAGCAAAACCAAAACCTAGCTGAAAGAACAGGTGAATGAATGAGAAGCAGAAATGCATAAACTGAGGATGATGGTGACATCCTGAGGCTCCTCAGACAAAAAGGGAGCAGTGACTCCAAGGGAGGAGGAAGCAGGGGCCGGCGGGCTGCTCTGCCTGCTCGCTGCGGCAGGGGCAGGGGGAGTTGGAGCATAGTCTGGGTCTCTTAAAAACACCGCAAACCAAAACCAAGCAGAAAGGGAAAGTAAAACGACAAGTGAAAAGGCAGAAGGTAATGACCCGACACCGGGGTCAGTGACGGTACGGAGGGCCACGACGAGTTGTTCCAAGTCAAGCATTAGAATAAATCCAAGCAACATGTGCTCTTGTGTGGAAAAGAACTGAGAAGGAGTTCAAAGAATAGTGAAAGAGAATAAAGAAGAAAACCGAAGGTGAGAGTCTACTTTAAAGAAAAACTATATAAGCCTGGGCATCCCAGGTCTCTGCATAAATACATACATGTCAGAATAAAAGGCAGGTTTTTTTTTTTTTTTTTTTTTTTTTTTTTT